AGCAGTGCAAGTCACAGGCTGCCACAGTCTTCTCTGTGGCAAGGGACCCTGCTAACTATGTTCCTGTATGGCACAGACTGTAAAATACTAGTGCCAGTGTCAGTGGCCACCTGTCTTTCACCATGTGTATGCCAGGTGTAAGGGCTTGGCCACCATGGTGCCTCCTTAGGATTCAGTGAGGTAAGACCACACACAGCCTCATCCTGGCTGCTGGCTCATCGCAGGGAGATGAGTGATGAAAAATTGTTCCCCAAGTAAGCAAAAATCTTGATAATGATCAGCCATCAGTGCAGAATGATAAGAGTATCAGAAGCTATCACCGATAGCTCCAGCACCAAGGTCTGCAACGGCGACTAATTAAAATCACGGGCAGTCACTGAGCAAGACAAACATGAAAGAATCAATGTGCTCCTTCCTACTGGCAAAAGAGCAGCAGCATGGATGAGAACAAAATCTTGAGTTCTGCGTGGGTCGTTGTGATTGGATGAGAAGCTTTGGTCTGCAAGCTGACCTGGACTTCATATCCTTTTGGAAAGGTTTAAATGTCCAAGAGTCTATTGGTTTAGGGACAGCTCCACAATGAAATGCCAGGCAGAGGAAAGGGCAGTAGAGCCTTAGCTGACCTCTCTCTTGGGACAAGCATTGTTGAAACAAGGACATGTGGCAAAACACATCCTTTTGTGTTTGTGCTGCATTACACAGCTGTGCTGGACAGGGCAGTCCATTATTTTTTATCCCAGAAGTGTTTCAACTACAGGAAGGTTTGCTTAATCTCACTAGACTCCATGACAGATATGAATTCATCAAGTAGACTATGCAGTACCTCTGACATTCTTATGATTCTGCACTGACAGCTGATCATTATCAAGATTTTTACTTACTTGTGGAACAATTGTTTTCCTTCTGCAACTAGCTTTACATGAATCATTCATTTATCCAATAAAAAGTAAAAATGCTAACAAAAACAGTAACCTGGGTTGTGTATGAACATGCTTCTGAAGGATCATTCTTTTTATTAATGAATATATGAATTAATGAATATATTCAGCTCAGATGTATTTTGAAAACCATGCCATTGCTAACATTAATGCTGCTAACTGATTGTTATGAAACAACTATATTGACTCACTGGACATCTTTGCAGCTACTAAGTTACAGGCAGTCTATGGCAATACAAATGTGACTCAGGTAGATGGTGCACAAATGCCAAGGTGGCCCACAAATGGTGAGCTTGAGTGTACTGCTAGACAATTTGGTTGTCGAAGAAAAAGTTTCAAAGCACACTCCAAAGCTAGAAGTGATGAGGTAAAGCACATTGGCTAATCCTTTGGCTTCTGAGCTGTGAAATATGCAACAGCAGCACCACGGCTGTTGAGTGTTAAAATCTCTTTGAACAGCAGTCTTAAGCAGGAAAGGGAGCAGGGGCAGCAGCCTCAGAAAGAGCTTGCAGTTCGGGGAACACTCCCAATTGTACGATTAAAGACAATGTACAGACACACTGATCCCTTTGTCCTATCTTTCCATCAGCACGGTGATATCATTTTCAGCTAAATGGGACTCACGACAGTGGTGATCGATTTACATACCGCTCCTGCGAGAGAGAAGTTCATGCTCTTCACAACAGATTTTCAGTGATGGGCCACCAGCATGAGGCAAGGCCTAGAGATCTGTCCTCAAAACCACTGCTGCTCCACAGCAATGGCTGTAGCAGACTGGCCTGGGCTACACATTGAGCCATGTAAAGCACTTGCACTGCACTAGTATCTTCAGCTGAATGGGATTAATGAGGACTGTATTGAGGAGAAAGGTGTGGATGATTCAGAGACTTTGCACTTGCATAGGAAACTGAAAGGGTTAAAGAATCCACCTCTTCTCTTCAGAAGTATAATTTGTTCTAGACAATTTCAGAGGCATTTTGTGTATTGACTTTGGATTTCTGTTTAAAAATCACACAGCATTTAGAGAGGTCAAAACAGTTTCTTTTCTTGTCTGTTCATTCTTCTGTTTCAGAGGAATTATGAGACTGCTTTCTTCTTGCTATTGTATATTATGACTGTCCTGTAGACCATGAATGTTTCTTCAGCTGGTTTTTTCACCTGATGTGCCATGAAGAATATCTGTAAGAATAGTCTCTGTAGGTACAAAAGGGACATTTTGAACCTAGCATCTGGTGCTGTGACCTGTGGAAAATGAAAAGAAACACACACCTTAAACTACACTTCAAAATTTTAATAGCGAGTTCAAAACCTTTTTCTGGTAGCTTCTAACTGGGATCTAAATATCCTGATGCCTGAATTTAAAAAGCAGCAGAAGCCTTATCTTTCTTCTCTGCTTAACTTATTCTTCCCCAGCACTTCTTTCTTCAGCTCTGTAACTCTTCTCCATACAGATGCTCTAATATTGCTTTTGAAAGTAATGGCACATCATGCTTACTGACAGTTTTGTTCCACGGATGTGCTGTGCAGACTGTGACTACGTCCAAGTTCCCTGAGCTCTTGGATGAAAAACTGCTCTGTGAAACACAACATCTGTGATCTTTTACAATGCAGGCTGTAAATGGCACTAGGCAATTACCTACAAGTTTTTTTACAGAAATATTTATTTCAATATTATAAAATTTGACAACTAACATTTGAAGGATGTGCTCTTTTTCAAGTTCCTGAGCAGCAGAAGTTTCTCCATTCCTCACCAAGAGCTATGCATTCTGGTGAGCAGACGAGTGATATTGCTAGCCCAGCCAACAACGGGAGAGAAGTTGCAAGAAGTATAGCATGGGCACACTATAACAAGCAGTACTGCATGTGCTGATCTTACCAATTTTTTGATTTCACAGAACAGTGACCCTGAGAGGGATTTGGCCCGTCAGTACTGATTGTAGAAGAATATGAGGAAATTAACTCAAAATTCATTATAGGCACTCTGAAAGACTGAATTTCTCACCTTTTTTGTTTTATTTTCATGAGCTGTGCTACACTATTTGCTGCCATAACCAAATAATATTTACTATTCGAGTTTCAGTGAATAGCTTTTATCATTATTTTTGCTTCAGCCATTTAAATATGCTCTTTCCTTTTCTGCAGAGTTTCACAAGCTATCATGAATGAATCTTCCATTCTGGAGATTCTACGGTAAAATTCTTTCATTCAGACTTTTTTTCTTTTTTTGAAAGAATGGACTTATTCCAAGTAAAAGTGCACATCTGACATTGAGCTCCATCCATCACTTCATTTGGTAAACACAGAAGAGGCTGTGTGGGGCGTGTCACCAAATTGCACAAGATATATTTCAAGGAGTTCAGCAAGTCTGCCCCAAGTACAGCTGAGAAGCTGTACTGTTACCTTCGCAGGTGAAGCAGATAAGGTAAGCATTTCTTTCCATTATGATTTAAGTTATAATTTGCAATTCTAATAAAAAATTGATCTGTTTTAAAATTTCCAAAAATATTAATGTAACCTCATGTTTATGGCCTTCAGTATCAGTTGAAGAAAGAAATGACTAAAAGATGCCTTCTGCAGAAACTTCATCTCACCTTCACATGTTCTGTATGGTTTTACTGTCTCACATTCTGTCATGCATAAAGCCAAAGTATTTGTATGAACTAAAGCTTTGTTTACTAACTTTTCCACATTGAAAAGCTGGTGATACGACAACCTGTCTTCCTTTTCCACTGTCACTTTCTTTCTTTATCAAATTTATCAAATTTATCAAAATTGAATTTGTTAAAATTTCAGATGATGCAACTAAAACTCCGTTGCAGGGTTTATGGAAGATTTCTTTGAATGAAATAAAGGAATGCAGCATGTTCTGGTGATCCCAGTGTACTGCAGCTCTGTGTTTACTTTAATAGTTACATTTTTCTAAGGTTAAAAAAAAAAGAAAAAAAGCATTTGCTTCATGAACATGAACCTGTGGCAAGTGGTATAAACACTATACTGCTGCATTAGACCTTACAGTACTGTATTTTCTATTCTGTGTTGTGTTCCTTACTAAAAAATCCTCCCCTTCAGTGTTAGATGAAATGCTAGGTGCTGAAACTACAGGTAAAATTTTACAGGAATGTCAGAAAAAGGGCAGAAAAAAATATTTAAATATTGAAAACACTGATGTGAAGGTCTCTGCAAATTAAACACAAGGCTAAAGAAGCACTGTCTTATTAAAAGGTAGATTTTATGGAAAAAGTGATAATAAAAATTACTCTGCTTTAAAACAGATTGAGATATAATTTAGTCAACAATGAATGAAATGTACCAGCTACAGATGTTTGTCGCAAACTGGATGATTTCGGTAAATCATTTGCATTATCCATTGCTGTGCCTTAAGTATCTTATTTTAAAAGTGAAGGTAATGTTGCTAATTTTAAGACCTCTGATAAAGTAGGTGATGTAAGAACCCAGCTTCTGTTTACACTAGGCTGAAAACAGAGTAAGTCCAGGAAAACTTACATCGTTGCTTCAGACTTGCACGTTGTATACTGTAATTAATCGTATTTTGGGTTGTAGCGGGCTGATCTGATAACTGATATTAAAGTCTTGTTAAGAAGTATAGTGAAGGATCTGGCTTGGAGTCTTAAAAAAATGAAGACTTTGAGAATCATAAAATCATAGAATGGCTTAGGTTGGAAGGGACCTTAGAGATCATTTAATCCAACTTCCCTGTCATGGGCAGGCAACACACAAATCTATGTGAGGCTTTTTGCTTAAGTGAGCTTCTTTCAAGGAGGTTAATACTCTTTGCAACATTTTCAACAATATGGTATAACTGTACAGAGAAAGAAAACTCAAGTTTTAAATCAGAGAATAGAAAACTGGTAGCCATTCAGAATTTTGATTCCTCATGAATCTGAAAGCATGTCTGCCTTTTAAATCCAGACCACTGGATTCTGTTTTCCAAAAAAAAACCCCAAAGAACTGTGCACCAAGGGGTCTTTGCATGGCAGTTAATATATTTCATCATAATAAGTCAGATCCTTTCTGTTTATTTTAGACAACAGTGATTTCACAATGAGCTCCATCAGTGCAGCAAACTCAGAATTTTGTTTTGATGTATACAAAGAGCTGAAAGCCCACCATGCCAACGACAACATCTTTTACTCCCCCATGACCATCATTGCAGCCCTTTCCATGGTCTATATGGGATCAAGAGGCGACACTCGGTCTCAGATGGAGAGGGTAAGTTACTTATATGGGTGTAAAATTGTATCTATTTGTGCTTCTTGTTACTTCCAGGTAACATCACTGAAATATATTGTCCACTGACAAGATTCTCATCTGTTTTGATGCACAAGAAATAAGCCGAAGTTACAAAATGGAGAACTCTATGGAGAGTTATTTCGAGAAAATACTAAAAAGAGATGTATATTTTCACTATAAGGAGCAGTTAGTCTTGACTTAGAAAAATATTACTCAAGGACAATAACAAAATGGATTACCTGTCAGCAAATTTCATTTTACGATTTTTTTTCTAAATTCTGATATCTTCCAGATAATGAGATCAAATTATTATTTTTTTAATATATAAAAAAGAGAAATTCCAGGAAGAGAGGAAGCCAGAATATTATTAGCAGTATAATATGCAGCCTATGTAACCTAATTTCTAGACATACTAGAGAAAAAAGTCATCTAAGCAAAAAAATTTTTATTTACCGTTTCCAAGGCCACAGAGGGCATAAACTATTTGCAAGCTCATTTGTAAATTTTTAGTTCATCTATGTTCTCAGTTAGCACCTTTTTTTTCTTTCCCTGAGCCAATGTCTTTACCTCAAACATCATGTGTAAATCTCCAATTGTCATTTCTACCACTGCCATTTTCTCTTGCAGGTTCTTCACTTCGATAACATTACAGGAGACCCTACTGACTCCGAGGTAGAGAAATAACCTCATCTCCCTTTCTGTCTTAGTTTCTCCTCAGAACAAAGCTAGAATTGTTCTGCCTCTCCTCCTGACAGTTTCAGACCTTGTCAGTAACAATGATAATGCTCTCCAACCACGGAGACCTGTGGAGGGAGGGAAGGAGGGTGTAGGTGCAACTCACCTATTTGTTAAAAAACAGTGGAAGAAGGCAGGTTGCACATCTTGGACCAGAACAAGTGAGACTGTGGGGCAGGATGCTTTGGGGACCTGGCTGCCTTCCTGGGCAAGTGCTGCTGGGAGACAGCATGTGAAAGGGGCTCTGTATCTGGGTGCAGCAGACAGACTTGCAGCCGAGAAATTCGAAAGCAAGGCAGGGAGATGCTGGGCAGAGAGGAGTCCAGAAGTCTTAGCAACAGGAGCACAGCTACACTTTTACAAAAAGCACATTTCAGGGGGCTTATCTCGAGAAGGATGAACTTGTAGGTTTGATGCACCACTGCCACAGAACCTGGCGTCCCACAGCCCTATGTCCGTGGGGAGGACTCCACTGCAGCATGACACTCAGCTGAGAGGGACAAGACTTCAGTGTCTTACTTCCTAGATAAGAATAAGCTAATGCAATGTATCTTCTTATTTTCATGTCATCACCTCAGTGTGGCACTTCTGAATACATCCACAGTTCATTCAAGGATCTCATCTCAGACCTCACCGGGCCAAATACTAAATACTTACTCAAGATCACTGACAGGCTCTATATTGAGAAGACATACCCCATTCTTCCGGTGAGTTGTACCATGACCTGACTTCAGCGACATTCCCCAGCAAGGCCCCTGTAACTCTACCCTAGAGAAGCATCACCAAGAATAGCCCACTGCCTGTTGATAAAGATGCAGTTGCAAGCCATGAGGGAGACTGCTTCAGAACAAGTTTGAACCTTCCCGTGCCTGTTAGGTGGCAGCCAGGCAAATGTATAACTGCATAAAATATGCCCATAATGGTCACGGGGAGTAGTCAAGATTGCTGTTCATTTGGTAGAAAATGGCTTTTAATGCAAAATGTAACTTTAAAGGGGAATTAAATATATTTCATGACTTGAAAGTGTGAAGACTGAAATTGTCAAATTTGGATTCATTGCAAAGCCAAATACCAAATCCTCCCAGTGAAAGGAAGGTAATCAAAATAAAAAGCGGGCACAAAGAGAAGGAAACAAACATCACTCTGTCCTCAGAAATGTTTGTTAAACTAAAAGTGTTCTGTTAAAACAAAGAAAATATTCCAAAATTTTAACTCAGAATCCTATCTGCAAAAAAAGTGTGAGACCTAAATATTTGAAGCAGTCTTTTTGTCTAACTTTAAGATTCAGTTATGGAAGACAGCTGCGTCTGACACGTTTAAACACAGGGGTAAAAGTTCACTGTTCTTTAAACCATTTTGCTTCATTTCACGTTCGTATGTTTTCCTATGACAGCCACAATTTTCACATAACAGCCACAATTCTTCTCCTTACAGCAATATTTAAAGTGTGTAAAGAAATTCTACAGAGCAGGGGTGGAAGAAGTTAACTTCAAAACAGATACAGAGGACGCAAGACAACTCATTAATACCTGGGTGGCAAAAGAGACAGACGGTAAGGCACGAAAACCAGGCAGCAGATATTTTGCTCTACCCACCATAATCTGTACCCATGTGTTCCTCTCCTCATAATGTCCAGAAAAAAACAGGTCAAGCAAGAGCAGGTTCCTTACTGCTGTGGAAATAAAACTCCACGAAGTAGCACCCTGCACCCCCACGCCCTTCATTGCAGCCACACCACAGGATGTGTATCTTACCACTGCTTCTTTCTTAAAGGACGGATCCAAGAT